GAGTCATTTTAATAGGACACTTGGTTCACTTGTGAATTTGTTCTACAAAGTGCTTCTTACATAGGTGTCTTTACCCATTTGAGCTTCTGAATTCTGGACTACCAGTAACTGTCCTTTGGGAACTGGTTTGTTCCTTTGTTTAGTTGTTCATCTGACATCTGTTGAATTCCCCTTGTGATGGGCACAGTCTGAGCCCCGGGGGGTAAAACAATATGTGATGACACTCCAGATCCACGTTCTCAAGGTTGTGCATCTAGTGCATTCCTCTCTCAACCTGGGAGAAAGTGGTTTGCACTTCATTCATCCTTTCCTCCCTCTTGCTAAGAATGAGTTTATCTCTCCCTTTTCTCAGTTGAAAAGGCAGCACAACAACATCAGTCAGGACATTAAAGGGAAATATAAACTTCATCCATGACCCCATTGCTCACACGCTTTTAATTTTGTATATGTCTAAAATTGCTTCTGCTTTTCTCCATTTTCCTGATGATCGTATTTAATGGCTCTGTGATACCCCGTAGAGTAGATCCGTTAACTCTGAAACCAGTCCCCATCTTTGAGCATACAGGCACTCTGATGACAGACCTTGTTTGTATGTTTTTTTGTGTCCATTGAGCATCCTTTAGGATAATTTTTTCATAGGCATCAAAAAGAACAAGTGTCCTGATTACTTTAATAATGATGTAAGAGTTAAAGCTAGACCACCACTTGTTACTGAGTTCTGACATATGCGAGGCTTAGACAAATGGAGNGAGTCATTTTAATAGGACACTTGGTTCACTTGTGAATTTGTTCTACAAAGTGCTTCTTACACAGGTGTCTTTACCTATTTGAGCTTCTGAATTCTGGACTACCAGTAACTGTCCTTTGGGAACTGGTTCGTTCCTTTGTTTAGTTGTTCATCTGACATCTGTTGAATTCCCCTTGTGATGGGCACAGTTCTGAGCCCTGAGGGGTAAAACAATATGTGGTGACACTCCAGATCCACGTTCTCAAGGTTGTGCATCTAGTGCATTCCTCTCTCAACCTGGGAGAAAGTGATTTGCACTTCATCCTTTCCTCCCTCTTGCTAAGAATGAGTTTATCTCTCCCTTTTCTCAGTTGAAAAGGCAGCACAACAACATCAGTCAGGACATTAAAGGGAAATATAAACTTCATCCATGACCCCATTGCTCACATGCTTTTAATTTTGTATATGTCTAAAATTGCTTCTGCTTTTCTCCATTTTCCTGATGATCATATTTAATGGCTCTGTGATACCCCGTAGAGTAGATCCGTTAACTCTGAAACCAGTCCCCATCTTTGAGCATTCAGGCACTCTGATGACAGACCTTGTTTGTATGTTTTTTTGTGTCCATTGAGCATCCTTTAGGATGATTTTCACATAGGCATCAAAAAGAAGAAGTGTCCTGATTACTTTAATAATGATGTAAGAATTAAAGCTAGACCACCACTTGTTACTGAGTTCTGACATATGCGAGGCTTAGACAAATGGAGGACAGTGGCCTTTGTCCTCAGCTCAGAGTCTCTAAGAGAAAGACTCTAAGGGACCAGGGTACTGTAATGGAAAGCAGCCTGTGCGCGAATCCTGGTGAAGAGTTTAAAAATGGAGCTCCCTGACAGCCCTGGGAGGGAGAAGAGTTATCAGGGAATTGCAGCATGAGATTGGGCCTGGAAGCAGGGATAAGACTTTGACAGGCAGGAGAGGAAGTTGGCTAAACAGGGCAGAGAATGGAACATATCAGGGAACAGAGGCTAGGTCTAGTATGGGCAGCACACAGTGGTGAGAACCGAGGCCGAGCACTGTGGACAGTGTTTGTGCTGAATTCAATTGGCCATGGGGAGCCCCGGGGGCATATGGAGCAGGATGATACAGCTGGAGCTGTGCGTCGGGCGGATGTGAGGTGTCGGGCGGATGTGAGGCCCTCAGCTGGGCAGCCGGTGCTTGTGAAGATTGAAAGCAATTGCAGGGCTGAGGGCCCAACTTGGGCATGGCTCTCTCAGCTGCTGGCTGCGCTGTTACTTTATTTAGCGTCATCTTGTAAAAAGTGGTTTCTAAGATTGAATGAGACATGATTGTGAACAGCATATTTTGAATAATAAAGTACTTCGTAGCATTAGATGTTTTTAGGAAAACAGAAAGAAAGCTGCATTCAGCTGTTTCTCATGTCTGGTATTTGGAGTCCCTCCAAGGCCAGACCCTTCAGTAACTGCCCATTTATCTTTAAACTATCAGTAAACGTTATTGAACCATTTGTCCTTTGCGTAGTTAAATTAGAAATCAATAACAACACCTCCCTCCATAT